CTACATGGTCATTTTAGAAACAGTTCAAAACCAAAGGTAGTATCAACATTTCCTCTGAAGTCAGGGTACATTCCCCTGAGAGGTGAGGAACCAATCATCTGCACACAAATCAGCCAGATCTGTAAAGTAACATGCAGGTAAAACTCAAGTCCTGGAACAGACCCAAAGTCCAGAAGTGGATGAACAACCAGAATTGTCCACTGCAGTTTGCAGCCGGCTGCTAACACAGAAAAACAAAGAAAAAAAGTATTTGAAACAAGACTGAGCACTTATCAATTTCTTTGAGATTCAGCAATGGTTTGGTCAGAGATACCACTAGAACAGAAACTGTTTTAATAATCATCTACTTTTTATAGGTAAGATTATACTTAAACAACAGATATGATGATTTTGCCATCTAATGCCCTGACAACATATGGGCAATATGAATGCTGAGATACAGTCATGTAACTTATGAAGAGGTAGAAGGGATCACAGACTCTGGGTAATGAGCAAAGATGGAAAAACGGATAATAAATAAAATTATCATATTTGTTCAGAAATTTAGATCAACCATAACTAATAAACTACAAACATTCACTACTGTTGCAGGTGTATAATAGATAGAATTTAATGACATGGCAGAATAACAGATAAGGTATTTTGGTGGAGAACTAATTAAATTCCAATAACTGTTGGCAAATAACTAGTGAATGCTGTAGCTACATTTTTTTTATAAGAGAGAAGAAAAGAAAAAGATGATTGTGCTGGATAGGAAACACATTATAAAGATTCAAAAACACATGCAGAAGAAAACTATAAACTGAAGCAAATAAGATGGGGAGGACAAAGGGTGAGCTGCAAATAATGGCAAAAGATAAGACAATGTGTCGCAAGCTGGTTGTGGGTCTATGCTAAATAGGGAATAAAGTGGGAGCAAGGTGAAAGAGTAGGGACTGATATCATCACTGCTTGACATGAAGGTTTTCAGACGTGCATGTGCATACTGAGATCACCATCTGCTAATAAGTCTAAGTTGAAATCAGGAAACTAATTGCTCACTGTCTGGGTTCCAGGACAACATTGCAGGGGCTGGTGGGTGGGGAGGGAAAAGACCCACTGCCACTTTAACATGCAGGCTGTAAAAGACAAATAATTAGGGGTTTGCTGTAACTGAATGTGTTAGGCCCTAAGGTGCAGATATCACAGATAACAACACAATGTGCCGACCGCCCTTGGGGGCAGAAGAAGAAGTAGAAGGTAGTTAATAAACAATTTATGATCAAACTCAAGTAACAGATTCTGGAACAGTTAGTACAAGAAACATAGGGTTCCTAACATTATTTAGTGCAACAAAGCCTGGCATATGATTTCAAAACATCTAGTTTCAGAATGGAGGTGGAGGCAGTCACTGCTGCTTTCCACTGGCTTGAGAATCAGTTTATACACATGTCGTAACTGTAACTGACTCACTCACAGAAATGTTGAGACTGGTGGAGACAGGCATGCTCAGTACAGAGTGGCAAGCATCACTTCAGGGTAGTTAACGTCCTTTGGATATTTTCTCCATGTAATGCCTGTGTACTGGGAAATGAGCAGGCAGATAAGCTGGCCGGTTCTGCACTACTTGGTGGTGAACTGATGTAGGACAAGATAGATGTTGTGAGGGCCCCTTAGGAGCAGGTGAAAAATGAGGAGGTACAAATAGATCATTATGGTCTGAGGAGAATGGCGCTGTGAGAAGTTACCAGGGGATCTGGCCGATGCTCACACTCAAGGGAAAGGTGAGATGGATTTACAATCAGTCAGTTACTGGTGCCATCAGAACTGGAACTCTTCGCTTCATGTTGAAGATGGGGATGGAGCGCTTATGGGAGTGTTCTGAGTGCTATTATGTAGATTCATAATTCAATATAAATATGAGCATTTTATTAAGCTGAAATTCACAGAAACATCTAATGTTAGCAGAAGTCGGCGTCTTGAGGAAAATAAAAAGAATACCAAGAGCAAAAATTATCACACTAGGCAGTTTTCTCAGAAATAAAACTATAAACTGGTTAAAGAATTACATGGCAGTCCAGATTTTAAGGAAGAGAAATAAACTTGGGATCTGAGTTTTTAAAAATGGCCAACTTGATGGGAAATGAGCAAAAGAGGAAAAAGTGATAAAAACCTAGGTAGGTTAGCCACATGGCATTACTGGACAAGATCACAGAATTAATCCAAGAGTGGTGGTTGTATGAAATAGCAAACTATAGATGCTTACCTTTATCAGCTGAGATGAGATGAGTTTTAAGAACCAATATCATAGCACTCAGGAGATTCCCATAAGTGTTCCCACCCCATCTTCAGCAGCCAGTGAAATGTTCCAACTCTGATGGTACCTATAACATTCTGACTGTAAGTGCGTCTTGCCTTTCCTCTTAGTGTGGAGTGTCGGCCAGATTCCCTAGTCACTCCCCATTGCATCATTCTTTTCAGACCATGATAATCTAAGTCTGCCTTTACACTGTTTACTCCCTACCAAACAGCCTTGACAACAATTTTACTACCAAGTGGCGCAGAGCCAGCCCAGCATAACATGAAGAAAATATCCAAAGGATGCTAAGTGCTCTGGACTTCTGATGCGATGCTTGCCACTCTGCACAAAGCATACCTGTCTTCACTTTTCTCAACATGCTTCACCTTTACCAGCAATGATGATGATGATGATGATGATGAGAATATGAAACAATATGAAATCAGAAATGATAAACAGTGTTGTCTTGTAAACAATATCAGATAAAGAACATTACCAGGATTTAAAAAAGTAAACATAAATGTACAATCTAAAAGTATTTACAGACTAGAGCAAAGAAATTAATAAAATCTTAGAATGTTACAAAGCTGATGGAAGAAATATGAGAAAAAAAATATATTAGCAGCTATAAGATTTGGTATTTATAAAAAGTTCCATGATTAAAGTAAAAGTATACATACATGACATACACAATTCTGAAAAACATAATATGTGAAAACTGCTATCAGCTGCTGCCATTCAGAAATATTGCTACAAAACTTGTGTATAAATTAAATCTTCATAACAGAAGTTTTCACATTTCTCTAAAACATAACTGTTGTTCATGCTGTGAGTTAAACTAGCTCTGGTTTCAAGAATCAAGAATACACATTTGAATACAGTCTAGGAGCATAAAACAGAGCAGAATAACTAAATCCCAGCAACCAGTTTTGTTAATTTAAAAGCCACATGATTAAAAAAAATATATATCTATTTCTGAGGAGTTATCAATGGGTTAATTATAAGGAGACAAATGCATGGTGATAGTTTTTCTATCTAGCACCCAAAATGGTTTAGTTTTAATTTAAACAAAATATTCTTACTTCCTCTCTCTGACCCAGAAAGAAGTATTCTTCCATCTGAAAAGTGCCACACATAACAAGTGACCGCATGTATTTAAAGACAAATATTCAACATTTCAAAATGATACACATATGTATACAACAGAATAAGTGTTTCATTTTAACAGAAATGACTATTTTGGCCTTGGAGACAATATATATTTGCTAAATAAACTGTACTTTAAAATATGACACAGCTGTCAGGTATGAATGTACTGTGTAGATACCTGACAACCTCCAGCGAGTGACTATGTGCACATTAAAAAGAAACGAGACCTTACATTCTGTCTTTCAATGTTCTATGTGCCTCAAGACTGCTATATGAAGCATATACACCTTTAGCCACTGTAAACATATGAATAGATGGTTTATAAATTTTTTCTGTGCCAGTATTTTTATTTTAGTCCACTTCACCACATTTTTTACCAAAGGGTTTTTAAGGATTTCTGAAGGTATATAAAAAAGTTAGTTGTATTTGCTTTACAGCAGCGGTTCTCAGCCTGTGGGTCCCGACCCTTTTCTAGGTCAAATGACCCTTTCACAGAGGCCACCTAAGACCTTTGGAAAACATATATTCAATGAAGCTATGCAGTAGCAACACTGTATGGTTGCGGGGTCGCCACAACCTGAGGAACTGTATTAATAGTTTGCCGCATCAGGAAGGTTGAGAGCCACTGCTTTACAGGATGTAGCAAAACCATCCCCAGCTGATTATGTATATTTTACATTCAGTAGTTTTTACACTGCTTCCTGAACGGTCGGGTCTCGATAGCACTGTCAAAACTAACGCAAGATTGCCAAATCACCGGCACCTGGGATCAAACCTGGTACCTTGGAATTACAAAGGTCAGTTCACCTTCCAGCAGGCCAATTTGAAATGTCTGCCATGGGAGTCAAATGTAAAGGGTTTTTAGCTTCTTTTTTCTTTAATGGCTAACTTGTTTCTGTGTTTTTCTCAGTTTAAAGACCAGCTACAAGCCCTGGAATGTGACATCATAAAAATGTCAACACATTAGAGATAACTGCTTTAAAAGTTTGTGAAAACTGATTTTCAACCACAAAAACAGCAAAACTCTTCATAGAAATACTGGCACAAGATATGTGCTTAGATATGTGTCATGAAACATGCTTTTTATACTGAGTGCTACTAGATCTTGAATGGTTTCTTTTCCAGAAAAAGAACTGTCAAATAACGCAATTTAAAAAAAAATTCAGACAATAATTATCAAGGCTGATGCTGTAATAAAACCATGCAAACTTCCTTTATGTAAGAGCTTATAGTCGAGATAACTGCAGGAAAAAGTGACAAAATAAAGCTAGCTCCCACAACTTGTGGGTAAACCATAACATTTTTTGTTGACCACAGTGAAATAAATAAATGTAACCACTGGGACAGAATTGTAGTAGACATTATAATCAAACAATCAGTTTGTGTAGTAGAAGAATTGTTTAGATGCATCTGTGATTTTCTCATTATCTGCTCATGGTGACATGAAGTTTACTTACTGGAAGATATTTACAAAACAATAAATTGTTATTTCATTAAAAAAAGTAAAAGAGAAAGGAAACAAAAGGCAGAGAGTTACAATTTAAATATAATGTTCTATAAAGATATGCCATACCTGTGTTCACTTTTGCAGAGACTCTCGACAAGTCTATTGAAGCAAAATCTCTGGATAATCTTTTGGTAACAGGGGGCGTCTGGGACCTCTGAACTGCACCAAGCTTTGTGATTTTACTTATGGGAGCAAAAATTCCTTGAATGTAAAGAGTTTTATAAATGTAATACATCTCAAGGCAAGATGCATGCTAAAAAAAAAAACACATGCGTACTGAAAAGTTATAAAGTGTGAGAAGTGACCTGTAAGAAGTAACATCAATTAATGTTCCTTAAAAAATTAATTTAACTAAAATATCTTTAGCTCAAAACTGCAAACAGATTACATCAACAGAAATAGATAACAGAGTCAATACTTTTCCACTGGAATAATGTTTCTGATTACATACTATCTTATTCATTAGACTGAATATTGATGTCATTCCCTCAGGAAGACTCACTCATTTTTTATTATTTGTGGGTACTTGGCTGATTTTGAAGAATGAGTTTTATAACTCCCATCCAGGAGATGTGATTATCTATCCACAAGGCTCTATGATGAGAGGCAGAAGGTGCATGGACATCCTAGCAATTAATTATCGCTCGTCTGCTTTATTTCCCAAGAAATATCCATTATTAACTAGGTCAGTCTTGGTTTAAAAACAAATCCTAAAATAAAATGAGGAGATGGTGAAGAAGTGTATGTAAAAATTAAAGTAAAACTGACTTCCTTTCCTATATCTTATTTCATATCTACTGAAATTATTCTTCATCATATAATGCAATGAAAATTTACTCTAGAAATTTTTTGGGTTAATTAAATAATTGTTAAAGTAAGTAATTGTAATCTAGTAGTGACCAGGAAGGAGGGGCAGAGGCCAACCGACACGAAGATGGGCACAGGATATGACTCCTTGAGTGTGAAAGTTCATGAGGCGGGAGAACTGGCGAGAGACCGAGTTTCTTTCAGGCAGACTGTGATGAGAGCGGCCTTCTGCAAAGGACCTGCTACATGATGATGAGTGACTTTTTAATCCCTTTTTTCTCTGTTTTTATTTTCAAACCTATACATGAGACAGATATAAATATCTACAAATTTCTAAACACTTTCTGTTTACTTCAAAACTGTATGTATCAAAATACACAGTAAAAATAATGTTATACACAATAATTATTAGTATAACTGAAAGCACATTACTTGCATGATGCAAATTTGGCAGTGGAACAAAATGGCATTTTCAAAGTTGTAAGCAATTCTAGAAATAACCTTGACTGCCTCAATTTGAACCATTCTCAGGACTACTTACATAGGTTTACACTTGTAGTTTGGTTGACGGGTTATTCTGCATAGCTTTGGCAATCACTAACAATATGATTTTTCACAGTACATTAAGCTTGCATGTCTAACTCAAGCCTGACACATAATATTCAACTTGGTAGTTACTGTATATTTGGTCAACTCATCTCAACCAAGATTTGCACACCATGATATAGATGCTTGTCTTGCAAGCCTGTGAGATAATATCTACACATTATTCTATCTTACTAGTATGTAAACAGACATTTTCTTAGGAAGTACAATTTATATGTAATAGTGTTTTTTAATCACAAGAGAAAATTATGGTACTGTGTGTACAAATAGATGACCTGTAACTCAGCTGTGGGCACCTGCTGGCTGATTTCCTGGAACCATATACAAGATCTCTGCCACGGGTCAATACATTACACCATGGATAAATAGCCATCTCAGAACTGAATAACTGGTATAAGATGACAGTTAGTGGATCCCTGATCCCGACTAGGATGTCAGTTAGTGGATCTCTGATCCCGACTAGGATGTCAGTTAGTGGATCCCTGATCCCGACTAGGATGTCAGTTAGTGGATCCCTGATCCTGACTAGGATGTCAGTTAGTGGATCCCTGATCCCGACTAGGATGTCAGTTAGTGGATCCCTGATCCCGACTAGGATGTCAGTTAGTGGATCTCTGATCCCGACTAGAAATGACAAAGTGAAAATGGCCATAGCATTCATTTACAAGGATCCAAATTAAGGCTGAAGGAAATCACCCATGGCCTATCCTTCAAAAATAGTAAATGCTGCTTTGAGGGAAAATCTTACAGCATGTGCAAAGATCTTAAAATGCTGGAAGGAAAAGTGCTGTTCAGTTATTTTTTTAAGGCTGGTGTTCTGCCTAGAAATAGTTTAAATGCTGTTTCTACTTTCTGTTCTAACTGCTCTTCTATTACTTCTTGTTTCAGATTTGTTATCTTGGTGAGATCTTGTTATCTTACTCTTCACTGACACCAGTGCAGAAGTCCCTAATGAAGATGCTAATTTTATGAACAGCACATTGTCTTTTATGATGCTGGTAGCATGTCACATATGCTGTTGGTGGCAATCAGACCATTCTTTGTGGGGAAGAAAGTATCAAAGTTTACAGATGGTGAATGCTAAGAAGAAGGAGAGACCCATCAACAGATAAAGGTTAACTGACATTAACTAAAAAGAGAAGTCCCGTGATCATACTTCAGGTACCACCTGAATCAAACAAGAAAAGAAACCATCACCTACCACAATTACTGGGGCAAATAAAATAGCTGACACCACCAACACTGCCATTGTTTTTCCCTGAGGATTCATCTAGTTCCACTCCAGCCCACAAACCTGGAGCAAACTCAGTTGGCCCACAGTATCGAAGAATTCCATTCTGATAATATAAAGAAAACATTGTAAGGATGCATTAAAAATATACTAACAAATCATCATCATCATCAGGTGCCTTGCCGACTGGCATGGACGATCATGCCTCTCCATAATCTGCGATCTCCTGCAGCATGTATCAGTTCGTGTGCCGACACACCTGCATGCCATGCAACAAGACTGTGAAGCATCTTCTCTCGTTGTCTTCCTCTATCTCTCCTTCCACATATCTTTCCAGTGGTCGCAACATGTTCTATTTTCCCTCTTCTCATAACATGGCTGAAAAATGATGACTGTTTCCTTCTGATGTCTGTGATAAGTTGTCTTCGGGCTCCCACCTCTTTCAAAACCTATTGGTTGCTCTTTTTGGCTGTCCAAGGTTTTCTAAGCATTCTTCTGTAAAACCACATCTCCCAGGCCTCCAGAAATTGTTTGGCCTGCCTACCGATTGTTCAGGATTCACAGCCATATGTTAAAACTGGATGTATGTAGCAAATACTAACAAATACCACAGTTAAAATGTAATAGCAAACGATAAGCAACACATGAAGCTCTAAACAGATCAAGGTCATGTACATGAATATTTTTGTCATTAATACTAATTTTGCAAGAGGGCTGTACATAATTCTTTAGCTTGTCATCAACTTATGAAGGAGTCTTTTTCTTCTTTGTCTTCTTCTTCTCTTCCACCTTGTACCTCATCGAAGTGTCTAAGGGAGATGTAACATTCATTGATGAGCTCTGTCAAGAGCACTATTAAAACTTATGTTCATTTTTGTAATTTTAATGCCATCACCCCATCTTTTCCTAGGTCTTCCACTCGCTCTATACCCATTGTAACATTTTAGTGTGGCTTGCTGTAGCAGATAGTACCAGGGCATTCTTGTTAGGTGTCCAAACCACTTTATTTGTTGTTCTTTGATGTCCTGTAAGACTGGCTTTATTCCTAGCATTCGTCTGATTTCTTGATTTTGTATTCTGTCTTTCCTTGAAACTCGTGCCGCTCTTCTAAGGCATTTCAATTTTACGTTCATTGAAGGATGTTAGTGACGTTTGGCACTGATAGCATCGTGTTGGCTATGAAGGAGTAACAAGGCGAAAGCTGAAGACTGGCACATTCAAAGCTTTTCATATTTACGTCAAATGTGTAAAGCGTGCATTTGCTACTTGATTGGGTTTTCTAGAAGCAACATACTATTCTAAGCAGAACTGTTACTTTAACAATTTTTCAGAACAAGGGAGAAGTGATACCAAGGCTGTGAAACAAATTTCTGATGTTACAAGAAAAGCACAAGATGTACAGGGAGATGGAAACAGTGTTTCATTATTACTACTGTTTTGATAAAACACTGTTTAACTGTGGCTAATCTGCTAAGATAAAGCGAATGTGCTATGAACATGTTGTAAGAATGTAGGAAATAAGTGACATGATTAAAAAATGAAAATTATGGATACTGTCAGTGCAGTAACGGGACTGGGACACCGACTCCCTACTGAGAGGACGTGTTTTTTTCGAGCTCTCACCTTTTGGATTTATTATTCAGTTTGTCTTAGTGAAAGAAATATTATTTTTATATCACTGTGACCGTTATTTTGTCAGTTGTGCCGTGAAATATTGTCTTGTGCTTTATTTATCAACACGCGATAAAAATGTTGGATTCTTTAAGTAAAGAGTTTTAACAAGCTTTCACATACTGTATGGAAACAACAGGTATAGAGTTCAAATGGGCGTGTCTCTTCACTGAAATGTATCATTGACACCCGATACGCGTTGGCTATCCTAAAAAACAATCAAACTGGAGAACGGAACAAGCTGAGACAAAAAGGCACATTCCACGGTAGAATAAAAATCGGACATTTCAGTCGCATTATTTTTCATCCAGCAGCAAACACAGTGACAGAAGTTTCACACCCCTTCTGCCTACTCCGTGGAGAAAAATGTGCTGACCCCGTTAACTCTTTCTGACTCAGGCGGATGTGGCAGTAAAATAACAAATATATAACGTGTGTTAACTTACCTGTAAAAAAAAAAACAACAACAGTAGAACAGTTTATGGACCCATTTTACTAAAAAAAATGAAGGGAGATCAACATCTTCACATAGAGTCTAGTGAAATTAGCGAACACGTTCAATTTTCTCCCCCCCCCCCCCCCCCCTCATAATGAAGGAGTCAACAGGATATTATCCATGGAGCCCTGGGTGTACCCGACTGAGAACACTCCAGTCTCTCGGCACCCATTTTACTTGCTACATTCACTTCACACCACCCCACCCAGCGACAATCATCTATGGACAGTTTACAGCGAACTTTTGAAGCAGGCACAAAGTCGTCAGCATCACAGAAAGCCAGTGTAACCTGAAACTGGTCGAAAGACTTTTTACTAGGCCATCAGATGAACGGGCTTATTTTCTGGACCCACTAGGAGCCGGACACAGAACAGCCTCTAGGATAGGAGACTAGCCAAAGTGCATTCAACTTCAACGAATCAACGCTGTTAGGATTTTCACCTTTATTTTTCGGCACGAGACATCTATTTCGGGCCCTCAAGGAAAAACACTTGACAGTTTTGACGCCCTGCCCTACACCAACTACCTGGATTACAGTATAGAAGCATTGTTGAACATTTTCAATCCTGGAGGAATTAGTCATTTAGTGATCTCTCTCTCTCTCTCTCTCCTCCTCCTCCCCCTCTTTATCCCTCTCTACTTTGATGTAGGAGTACCTGTAAACTGTTAATTACTGTTATTTGTTATCACAATTATTATTATTATGTGTAAGTGTTTGTAAGCATGTATACATAAAAAATTAGTTTTTTTTTTTTAATGTATGCTGGAACATATGCATGGGCTAATGTTATATAACAGAAAAATGACTAATTTTGTACACCAATAACACACAGGTGTCAGCATGTAGGGAGTCGGTAGTCCAGAACCCAAGTTTAAGGCGTTTCCTTCGTGCCAATAAACTGCATGGCTGTCGGGGAGCACAGTCGGTAACGAAGGCAGTCAGGATGTACAGGGGCGACATCTGGCTGATGGACGTTGCATCCCTGGTTCCTTCCCCAGCACGAGGCTCTACTGGGATGACCGTTAATAAACCCTCACTTTTGTATTAATTAAACCCTGGGCAGATGAAGCTCAAAAGCCCTGAAAGGCAATTCATCTACGTGAAGGACACACAGAATGCCAAACCACCACTGCCTTGTGGGAAGTTCCTGTAAAAACAAAGGCTAGGGCAACAAAGCCCGACAGAAAATGTGGGTAGGCAGAGCTCATAAGCCCTGGAAGGCAATCAGCCTATGGGAGAGGGAATCCTGACAAAAAACCTCAACCGTCGAAGTCGGAAGATGTCAGCCTACTTGGCACGGGACTAAAAATTGGGCATCTACGCACTAGCGATATGGTCATGCAAACAACATTATTACATTATGGTGTCATTCCTATGGGACGTGGACAGGTAGGAATGGCGCGGGGGGGGGGGGGGGGGGGGCGCACCCCAAGCTACTAGAGCCACAACCTCTGAATCTTCTGGAGTGACCAGGGAAGAACAGAGTAATGCAACTGGACACAAACTGACAATTATGCACTGGAATGCTGAAGAAAACTGAACTACACAATTTCTTGAAGCAGCACGATATTGACATATGCTGCATCCAAGAGACTCACCTCACAAGTGCACACAGATTCTCTATCAGGGGATACCAAATCTTCCGACACGACAGGTTAGATCGTCCAAAAGGAGGAGTCTTGACTGCTGTCAAGAACACGATCACAGCTTGGGAAACCCAGAGATCTCAGTGTGGGGATACAGTCACTATCAAGGGTGCAAGGGAAGATGTGACAGTATGCAACATCTCTCACCACCAAACAGAGATATTAATCTGGGACCCATCCGACTTAACACAGAAAACTGGATTGCTGTCGGAGATCTAAATAGCCACTCACCTAGCTGGGGCTATACAGACCTCATTGCGAAAGGAGAAGAGGTATAAAACTGGATAATCAGCAACACTCTAGTTTTGATAAATCATCGTGACGACCCAGACACATTTTACTCTCGAGCTTGGAGGAAAACCAGCACTCCAGACTTGGCTATAGCAACTGAAGATGTGGAGAAAGTTACCAGCCGGGATGTATGTCAACAGCTGGGAGGCAGTGATCACTGGCCCGTAATCCTTTCTATTAACAAAAGTAGAGAAGCTACTAAGAAAAAGAACCCTCCCAGCTGGAACTACAAGAAGGCTAACTGGAGCCTTTTCACTTCCTATTTGGATGACATGTTGAAGAGAGTCTTCTTCAGAAGACTGGAAAAAAATGCCAAACTGAAGATCCTCAACACAACTATTCTTAATGCAGCCAAGGGTAACATACCACGAGGCAGCAGAAAAAACTTTAAACCTTACTGGTCGCCTGAACTGGACACTCTGCATTCAAAACTTAGTACCAGGAGGGAAAATATGGAGAAGGATCCGACAGATAAAAATGTAATACTTCATAACAGAGCAAAAGCAGCCTTCGTCAAAGAGAGAAATAATCAGATGAGGAAAAGCTGGCACAAAAAGACAGCGTCATTTAAGCTCGAGAAGGACACTTCACGTCTGTGGAATCTCACAAAAAGCTTGAATGGAGACAAGACAGAAAAAGCCAGAGTTGTACTCCAAACAGACGATGGATCTGTTACTGGCAAGGTAGCAGCAGATGTGCTAGCTGAAACACACCAGAAGGAAACTGAGGTTCATATTCCCATGCAAAGAATAAAAGAAGTACAAAACCAGACCAAGACTCTTCTAGCAGACTCCAGCACAAAAACAAAAGAGGCCTGCATGTCAGAAAAGTTTACTATGCAAGAGCTGGAAGTTGGAAATGGAGAGTTGAAAATGAAGAAATCCCCAGGGGCTGACGGCATTACAAACGAATTTCTCTCTCATCTTGGACCTGCTGCCAGGAAGTTTCTCCTCTGCATTTACAACCAGAGCTGGCAAAAAAGGGTAGTACCGTCAGGCTGGAAGGAAACCCTCATCCAGCCTATCCTTAAAAATGGTGGAGACAGAAGAGACCAAAAAAGCTACAGACCCATTAGCCTTCTTAGTTGTGTAGGAAAATTGATGGAGAAATTAGTAAATAAAAGACTAATATGGTTCCTGGAGACAAACTCAGTAATCACCACCACCCAGACAGGATACAGACAGCACAGAAATACAGAGGACCAGTTGACATATCTGACACAGAAAATTGAGAATGCCTTCCAGGAAAAAAAAAGAATGTTCTTGCTGTCTTCTTTGACCTCTCTCGTGCTTTTGATACAGTTTGGAAAGAAGGCCTACAACTAAAACTGCTACAGGCAGGAGTTGTGCACAACATGGAAATGAGAGAGCAGATGAGTTGGCAAAAGCTGGGAGAATCTTCCACAACCTCATCCACCACGCAGCTACAAGGAAACAAAAACAGCGCTAAAGCAGTCTTTCAAGCGGGAGTGGAGAAGGGTGAATGGAGATTACAGACCAGAGAATGACAGCATAAACAAACTCAACAGGAAAGAACAAGCATCAATTTTTAGACTTTGGACTGGACACTGTGGTCTTCGAGCACACTTGTACAGGATAGGCATAAAAGAATCTGCTGCCTGTGATTGTGGAGCAGAAAGACAGACCCCTGGGCACATACTACAGTACTGCCCTAACCTCTCCCAGCAAAGACTGTGGATCTGGCCCAAGGGAGCCACATTGCAAGAGAAGCTTTGGGGGACCGATGGCGACCTTAAATGCGCAATCCTATTTGTGACCCAGACGGGACTCAATGTTTAGCATGACTGACATCGAACGCAGAAGAAGAAGAAGAAGTGCAGTAACGAATTAAAGACAAGTCAACAGAATTTTAAACAATTGTCTGAACATAGAAAAAGTTGGTTCTGCTGACACACGAGCATGAACAAAGTGGGGTAAACTGCCGTGGACATTTGTCCCCCCAAAAAATTCCAGTTTTAAAAAAAAATTGGCAGCCACGAAGGCAGTAGATGAGAGCCAGACTCAAATTTCCAGTGCACAACGGAATGTTAGGGCTCTCAACCCTTGTCAAGCCAAGAGTACAAAAATCTTAAGGAAAGAATTGTGCTGTTTTCTGAATACCAAAGCTGTCCTATGCCTTGCAGTAGACAAGGCTTCTTAAAAAAAAAAATGGCTGTAACCACAAAAAGAGAGATAATATGCACTCAAATTGTTCACGATGAGCCTGTCACAAAGAATGGTTACTGCAGCTTGGGATCTGAATACTGATTCTTTGACACTGAGCCTGTTCTCTCCTCATCGGACATTTTCTTGATTAAGCAGCTTTTAACTCAATGACTGCCAAGCTCGTTAACCCTTACACTTTCCCAGACTGTGCTGTCTACTAAAAATGCAATTGCTTCCCAACTATTTGACATAAACTCATAAAATTTTGTAATTTTGCACCAAACTGTATGGAGAACAAATTTAAAGAATAAAAATGACATAATCTTGTTTGGCATCCTCACAAGTGGATGTTGGTGCAAATAGAAAGGCAACCGAAAAATCTTTTTTGTTTTCTGACAGCAATATAGACTAATGAGAAAAAAGCCATAGATTCACAACTATTTAATAAAATGCATAATATTTATCATTTTGCATCATACTGAATTTAAAAAAAAAATTTTTAATAACAAAACTGCATAATCTTGTTTTAAATCATCATCACGTGGCTGTACATTGGTGCAAAAAAGGCAACAGAAAAATCTTGATACCAATATGAGTATAAAATATTTTTTTTTGGGTGCTGAAATAATCTTGGATGAGAGCTCTGCCTAACTGTGAAATAAAATTCTGCAAACTCAGTGGCTGTTTGCCATTTTGCACCTGAAGCTTCTGTTACAGTATGAGTGAACTGTCAAAAAGTCACAGAAACGATCTTTTCCCAGAACGTGCATCATGTGAATTACACCTTGGTAAGATGAGGATTGCATTGTGAAACAATTTTCACTAAACTCTAAGCCACAGAGCCGTAATCTACACAATCAACACTAAAAGAGGCATCTAAAAATTCACACTTGAAGCACATACATGAAACAGTAGCCACAAACTAATGTAACAGACACACCATCCTCCCACTGCCATACCACTGCTGTAAGCTAAACGTTGTCTTCCAGTTTTGACGGCAGTTCATAAGAATTATCAAAGTCACAGTCATCAAACTGTTCAGAAATATCTTCACCTTCACTTTTTGATTTAAAACAATCAAGACAATTTCTCATTGCATCATAAATATTCTTCAAACTGTTCCACCGTGCCAGCCTTATGAACAGTTCCATTATGAAAACATGGCCTCATGAGTAATCAACATGGCAGCTCACCCGTGGAGAATTTACTTTAAGTTCTACAGAATTGTTGCCATTAAAAAAACATAAAGAAATGAACTGATTATTGGCTTCAACTTTATTTATGGCAAACGTCACACTTTTAACATGGCGTTAGCATCCAAAGTTACGATCTCAGGAGGTGTAAACATGGTAGCCAGGCGTAAATGTCAGTGGATCGCATTATGTGTAATCGTGGTAGTCAGTGGATTAAACAGCTCAAAGGAAACCATTTTAACAGTGATGATACTGTCATAACTAGTTATGGTGACAGAAAATAGAGTGTTCTGTTTCCAATGTCTTTCGATAAGGCAGAGATGGTATAAGTATGTTAATTCAAGAGGTGAAAAAAAAGGAATAAACGCTGTATAAAAATTTCAGTTCACATTTTCTTCATAGCAAGGAAAATATATTCTGACCACTGATCAAAATCAATGCTGAATGCTAAATGGTCTATAAAAATATGTAGATAGCAACATATATCTAACAAGACTGAAGATGTGGAAAAAGATCCTTTAATTAATGTACTGAACTTATACTTACCATATTAATGACCTTTTTAAATAAAACACTACCTTTGAGGCCAATAAAATAAGCAACAATGTGATACATAATGTCAAAATTACAATGGATGAGCAAAAATGCTTGATTGATGCATACCTTTACACCTCCAACCAGAATTTTATCTCCAAGAGCCAGACCCAACACCTGCAATGTCACTTTACTTTGGACAAAGTCATAGTTTGGTGGAAGCTGTTTTTGTGATGGAGGGAGAGCTTCACTCAGTGTTTTCTTCACTTTTGCTACCAACTGCAACATGTTTGAATCTTCCTCTAAGGAACTTGCATCGGGCACACAGTCTAAAGGATATGTAGCATATTTGTTTCACTACGCACTTATACATCAATCTGTTTGACATTTTTATTTGTACTGGTTATTAGTCATCATAAACAACTTGTTTATCACATAATCTGGGTGAATATCTTAGTCTATTATACAGACTTAGAATATTGTGACATCATACTCGTTTCACTTCACCTTCTGCATGAAGCCCTGGACACAGCAAAGGGTCAAAGGTGAATTAGAGGTAGGTCTTGGCTGGTACAAGCAGAAGACACAATGAGATTTGTGTATGCTGGAAAAATTGGGAGAAGAGAGGAGTGGGTCAAAATGACAGAGCAAAAACTTAACTTGTGTATGGTTCTAATCGCAGATGGCTGTGAGTGTAGGGATTAGCCAGCAGGTACTGCAGAATGAAAAATTCAACAACTAATTCGTGATAATTCCCACCAAGGTGATGAGATTATCTATGCTGATGGCTCTGTGTTGAGAGGCAGAAGAAGTGTGTGGGGGTTTATTGCGAAAGCAAATAGATGGCGCTTAGTGTCACAAAGTCAAGCTTATGATACAACATCATCTAGTTTGAGAATGGAGGTAGAAGCAGTCACAGCAGCTTTCCACTAGCTGAAAACCAGCTGCATACATTTGTTGTGACTGTAACTGACTCACAAGCTAGATGTGGTCAAGGCCATCTGGAAGAAAGTAAACAATGTGGGGACACAAATACATCATTATGTCTGGAGAGAAGGGTACAGCTAGGAGCGATCAGGGGATCTGGTTGACATTCAATACTCATGGCAAAGACAAGATGGACATACAATCAAACCGCTAATGGCACCATCGGAATTAGAACTCTTCATTGACTGCTGAAGATGAGGATGGAGTAAGGATAGGAATATCCTGAGTGCTGTGATGTCATTTCATAGCTTAACACTCAACAGCATTAAATGAGTCCCAAGAAATATCACTGAGTGCTGATTGGTTTACAAAAAAGTGGTCTAGCAATAAGTTTTTGATGCCCCAAAGGCATAAGAATCCAGAACTGTATCCACTTACTGATTTATAGTTCTATAACTACACATAGTCTTGGGAATATTCAGCCTAATCTGAAATATTCTTAATCCAGGACGAACCAAAATAAAACAACTTTCCTCACAAAAGTTATCCCTTTAATGTGAAACCAGACTCTAAATTCAAAATAAAATATAAAATATTAATTGTATATGTTTAGTTCAACACAAACAAGCATGTATATCTGCACCCATCCATCCACAAGCATGTTCACATGATGTGCGCGTGCCCACGCACGAACGCCTGCTCACGCACACACACGGACACAAAGTGTTTTCAACTTAACACATTTTTTTTTACAACTGTTTACCCAGTTAAGCAGTTACTCCAACAAAGTGACATTTTAATCAATGAGCTGGGTATGCTTGATTTGATTTAAGAACGAACATCACAGCACTCGGGGCATTCCCATAAGCGCTCCATCCCTATCTTCAGCAGCCAGCAAAGAGTTCTGATACTAATTGTGCCAGTAGCATTCTGATTAAACATCCGTCTTGCCTTTCCTCTGAGCCTCGAGCATCTGCAAGAACCTCTTGTCACTCCACCCTGCATCAATCTCACCAGACTGTGGTGATCCATCTGCTCCTCTGAACTGTACACGCTCTCCCACAAGGCACCAACCACGTCTGCCTTATCATGTATCAGTATTCCACCAAGTTGTGCAGAGCCAGCCAGTCTGTCCGACTGTTCATTTCCCAACACACCGGCGTGTCCGTGTAAAAAAAAATCCAGACAATACTCCTCACTCATGTCCTCCGCAGCGAAGCATGCCACTCTGCACAAAGCATACCTGTTCTGATCTTCATCAGCATGCTTTCTGAATCAGTTACAATCACGATGTGTGTGCGTGTGTGTGTTGTGTTCTCCAGTCAGCAGAAAGTTGCAGTGACTGCCTCCACCTCCATTCTTAAGCTGGATGTTGTGATATCATATGCTTGGCTCTCCTGCACCAAACGTCAACCATTAACTTTTGCTAAGAAGCCCCAAGCACTTCTTTTGCCTCTTGACACTGAACCGTCTGTGTGAATGATCAAATCTTCTGAGCGGGCACTATCTTGAATTAATTGCTGAATTTCCACCTCTGTGGCACCTGCTGGCCAGTCTCTGCATTCCCGGCTCAGCGTGATTATGACTCTACACAAGTCTGACTGTTCAGGTGGCACTTTGACCCACTCCTCTAATTGCCTAATGTTCTCAAGGATGCAAACCTGTCTAATTGTGTCTTCTGCCTGAGCCATCCATGACCTCCCTCTTATCAGCCGCTGACCCTTAATTGCACCCAGAGCTTCAAGCAGAGGGTGGTCTGTGTCTGCAACTACCCTGAGATATGACTTCGCCTGCATCACCTTGTGCCTACCTACAACCATCAGCAAACCAAGGATGTATTGCATACACACCACTGGGGTGTCTCTGGTGCAACCCAGAATGACCCTCATAGCCGCGTTCTGTATGTGCTCTATTTGTCCATCTGACTCTTTGAGATGGTAAGCAGTCCCAGGCCATAATCCACCACTGACAGGATCAGGTGCTGATATAGTGTGAAAAGCATTCTCTGCTGTATGTTGGGTATGCATGTTAACACACATAAAATACATGGATGAAATCAAAGAAAGCGGAGTTTAAACAAAGCACATTATATTTAAATGTGTGTTGTGTGTATGTATGAATGTACGTACGCATGTATGTATTTATATATTTTGGTAAAAATATTTATTTTAAATAATCAAAATCAAGTCTGAAAAAAAATGCATGTAACAATAATATGCTGCAATAAATGGCTCAGTGTTTTATCAAGCAAGTGGGGAAAGTGTAGATAAACTTACCAACAGGCATTCTACCCAAGTCGTCTTTTAGTGATGGATTTGCACCATTCTGCAGTAAGATCTTGCATGCCTCATGTGCTAAATTAGAGGCAGCAATGTGAAGGGCTGTGCCATGTTCAAATTCAGAACATGTGTTGTCAATGTCTGTCAGAGAGAACAAATGACTTTCATACTCATTAAAGTAGTCACTTACAAAAATATTACTGAATGTCACAGAGTGACATTGTAACAAAAGTCTACCTGATTTTCCCCAAGTCCCTGGACAGGAATCTTAATGAGCAAAATCCTGTTTGTATCTTATTCTGTTTACAATGGGTTTTCAATAATATCAGAATATTATATTTCATGTATCTCTAAAGAAAACTGTCTAGGACAGAGTGGGGAAAAAAATGGTCAAAAATTTTACATTACTGAAAACAAAGTTAAACAGGTATTGTTTAAAATTAATGTTTGTATCTGCGTTCATATTTCCCATTTTTCTGCCTTTTCATCCACAGTGGAGCACAGGCCTCAACCAGATCAGGTTAAGCTCTTCTAACTCCTGCCATGTTGGAGAGGCAAGCTGTGAAAGAAGCATAATTGCCTGTGCCAATCAGTTTCTGATGGAAAAATAATCTTTTGTGAAATCATGTGACACCTAATCAGTTTCCAAACAGATTCCATGTCAATGATGTTAGAGGCCTTTTCATAGTCCAGAGACACAACATAAAGTGGCAAAAACATTGATATTCTTTGGTCTATATTACTGTTATTATGGCTCTTGGTCAGTGCAAGATCTGTTTGGCTGGCAGTCTGCCTGTTAAATCATTTGTCAATGATATCTTTTAAGTCCCTCTAGATTATTTTCTCAGGAAGTGACAATATTACTGTACTATAGTAACTACAGGTCTCATTCTATTTGGCAGATTCACCAGATATGTCTCCCTCCCGTCTGTTGTATTACTTTAATCTTTTCTTGGACTTTGCTAAATAATTTGATGTAGTAACAAATTAAAAGTGGTTAGGAGTCTTAGGAAAGGCAACCATGGTCTCATAACTTTGCTGAAAGGGAAATCTGTCCCTGTGCTTAGCTGAGGATGGGAAACAAACCACAGCATGCAAATGCAGTTCTAGAAATAACTATGGGGTAAGTAAACACCACTAGAATGACATTTTCTGTTCGCTTGAGTGCCACATAAAAGGCTACTTGTTTATTTTGGCAACTCTAAAGATTCACTTCCTGCAAAAAATTTTTTTTTTTAAAAAGAATCATTGTTGGAGTTATGGAATGCAGGCTCGGCACTTAATATTATCTTTAGCTGGCAACAGAAAGTGTCAAGAGGACAAGACACGGAAATGGAGAGAGAAGAAGGTGTTAAAATGGGAGAGCAGAAGCTAGGAGAGTGACAAAAAGCTAAGCCTCTGAGATTCAAGGTGGGTTACTAGAATTGTCAGAGTATACAGCAGAGAGGACCTTTACTGGAGACAAGGTCTCAGTCAAGAGTGGCAAGTATCACTTCAGAGGCCCCAAGTAGTAAGCATCTTTGGATATTTTTTCCAGGTTATGTAGATGTGTTGTGAAATAAACAGGCAGACAGGCTGGTTGTTTCTTATTTGTCTTATAACTGTTGTTACCAGTGGTTGCCCAGACATTTCTCTTATTTCTTCACTTCTTTTGAATGTATCCAATTTTATGTTCAACGAGTTTTTCAGGCATTTGTTTTCAAATGTTTTTAACTGTTTTTCCATATCTTTAGTGGTTCTCTAGCTGTCAGGGGACCTACTCTATTAATCTATTTCCTATGGCTCCTTAGGAAGGCCAGCTAACAGACTTAACTACCCTACAACACACTTCAACTGCACACCAACAAGTACACACATAATCTTTAATGTACAAAGAACAATTCAACCTATATCACCTTCAACGAGGCTGGCAGTTCTGATTTACATTCACTAATCAACTTGAGCCCTTCCCATGGACATACCAAGGACACGATTCCACCTACTGTCGTACAGCGCTAACTAAGCCACCGTCTATACCACACGGGACTCAGTGACTCACATAAGGTGAATGGTCTAAGTATGACTGGGCAGTGTTAACGCCATTACCAATGCTTAACAGATACTGCGTGGAACGTCTACTATATAAGAAGCATTAACGCTACACTATCTCGTCAACACACTGTATGGAAACCACCTATCTCAAATATTAACCACAAACACTATTCGATCTAACCGTCGCTAAACTAAGATAAGTTTTTACCCGTCGCCGTCCTACATCTGTCCAGTCCAGTTTCCTACTACACAACTCCCTGAACAAGCTCAGTCGAAGCCTTTTGTTCCTCTTGAGCGTTCATCTCTGACACACTATAACTCGTGTTACTAGTGGGGGTCTGGGGCTTAACCCAGTTCAGTGGACACCGTTTATTCCGTGGCCAAACTGCCCGATCTCGCTCTGAGTTTGACTGAGGGTCAACTCGTTCATGCGTGATGATTCACTATCATCACATCTATTCATCCCGTAGCCGAACTGGCCTCTGACATCAACCTAAAAGGTAAAGATAGAGTCAAGAGATGTGAGCCAGAGTCACTGCACATGACTAAAAAAAAATTAGCGCTCTGCCACCAGTATGGACAGCTGATGAAAAACTGTCTGTGTCTCCGCCTGCACGAAACTCTGTAGCTACAGCAATGTTCCTCCATTTACCCCAGAGTGTTAACACTGGTACCAATTTCCTAGAGGCTGGGTGAACCCCCGGAACTGCCCAGTCTTGAACACCGGCTGAGGGCTACAGAGAGTCGCAGCAGGATTTGAAAACGAGTCTCTTATCGACTGCACTAACACGACCCTTTCACCGGCATATGTTAAAATATAATTTAAAAAACATTAGAACTGAAATATGTAACTTGGCCTTGAAATTATACAGTTTAGAATTCCATATTTGTTCAGACTTTTAAAAGCTGCTGATATCTTGCCAGTGCATGGCAGAATTTCTTTCCTTGTATTTCCTTGACTATGAAAATTATTTTCTAAAAAAAAGTTAGTTGATCTGTTACTTTAATCCTTTTTATCTCTAATGCTACACCTTCTTTTTCTTCTTTTTGTCTGCTTGAAATAGATTATCTATATCTGCAAAATCCAGATCTTCCATCTGTGTGTTCTCCCTCCAACAAGTCAATGCCATTTTTTCAAATACAACAGTTTTTTATCACCTAATCACTCTCTATTTCAAATAAAGGGGTAGATAAAATTCATTCCTATTTTACTCAAGCATCAACTGGAAACCAAACATATAATCCATTATCGGTTCGCACTGCACACTGCTCATACACTGCTTTAAAAACATTTATTATTTTCACTGGTATACCAAAGTATTCCACAATGATGTTTTGTGTCAGTTGTCAAAAGCCTTGTTAAGTCAATGACGTTCTAAATAAGGGGTGGTGGTTTTATTTTTAAACAAATTTACTGACTGATGCTTGAAACTCAGGAGAAAGGCGAGACAGATCAGACAGTTTTTAATTCAACAGTTAACATGTTAAACAAACTCCTATAAAATAAGTCTCAAGGTAATTATCTGATTTAAGCAGCTTATTCAAGGTCAAAGATTTGCTTGATCTTCTCTCAGGATTGTGTCCACTATCCCTTTAATTTTACTGAGAATTATTTGACAGAGTAACAGAGTAATTACTCTACAGTTGTTAGTCAGACTGCCTTTGTTTGGAACTTTAATAATTATTGCTTTCTTCCACTGATCTGGGATTTTCCCTCTGCCAGAATCTATCACTTAGTTTATGGTCACATCATTTGCTGCCTTGAGCATTTCTGCAGTAATATCATCATCACCACCTACTGCCTTATTGTTGGCTGATGAATTGATTGCCTCCCTGATTTTCCTGTTATTTATCTGTACTAAATGTATTCATAATACGGTAATTTTAGCTTTTTCATTAAAAATTCATTGGTTTTCATGGACAAGGTCTATTTAAGATCTCTTGGAACTGTTCTGCCAATCTTTTTGCTCAGCATCAGATGTAAGAACTGTACAATCCTTATTTTTAATGGGACCACCCCACAGTTTGAAAGTACTAGTTAACTGTTTTAGTGTATTATACAGTATTTTACCATTTCCACTCTTAGCATTACGTAAAAAGATATGGAAATATGGTGTATGGCCAAATGATTGTAAGAGAACTATCTTCATTCCAATACCATAAAAAGGGAAACCTGAAATTATGCACCAAATTTAGAACTGCTGCCCTGATCAGTCATGCAAGTAAAATTTTGCTAAAAATCATAACGGGAAGACCTCGTAAGAAAATGGAAGAAAAAAATTAATGTGTTTCAAGCTAGATTTAGACAAGGAAGAGGAACAATAAATCATATCCTCAACATGAATTTCATAATGAAGAAGTCTATAGAATTTAATGTAAACCCATTTGCATGTTTTGTGGATTATTATAAGGCATTCGATTGTGTACACCAGGGTTATTCAACTGGCGGCCCGCGGAGGCCTAGCAAGTGGCCCGCGGATCATTGCCATTTGTATTGTATTAGTGATATTTCTATGCCGGAGATTGGGCTTCTGGCCCTGACTATCCCTCTTTTCAAAATTCTGACCCCTGCAACAAACTTAGTTGAATATCCCTGGTGTACACCATCAGAAACTTTGAGAAATCATGTGAAATATGGGCTTTCCATCACATGTAGAACACCTCATAACAATGCTCTATCTAGACCCACAAGCAGCTGTTAGAAAAGATAGCAAGACATCAGACTGGTTTGACATCAAGCAAGGAGTCTGTCAGGGATGTGTGCTGTCACCCTATTTGTGTTAATTGATGATGATGCTTCCTGTTGATGGTCTTACATGAGTGCTAAATGATGATGATGGTGCTAAACGGTGATGATGATGGTGCTAAACGGTGATGATGATGGTGCTAAACGGTGATGATGATGGTGTAACATGATGATGATGGTGTTACGTGGTGATGATGGTGTAACATGATGATGATGGTGTAACATGATGATGATGATGGGGTTACACTATTATGATGGTGTTACATGATGATTGTGTTACATGATGACAGTGTTACATGATGATTGTGTTACATGATGATTGTGTTACATGATGATTGTGTTACATGATGATTGTGTTACATGGTGATTGTGTTACATAACTGTTAACATGGTATATACCTAAAGCTTTTGTAGCTTTGAGCAGGATTTTGAGTACAGGTACTACATCAAAGTAAGCAGCATAGTGAAGGGCAGTCATATTGGTCCATCGACATCTGATGTTCACATCAGCGCCAGCATCAATAAGCATGGAGACGATGCGCATGGCCGATTCTGGATCACCAATTCCTGCTGCTCCTGACTTACTAGCATAGTGCAAAAGGGTCATATCTGTCAGACCATCTCGATCATTGATATTTGCTCCTCGTTTCAAGATCTAATACACAAACAGTGACATCATATCAGTTCTTTAACACTATCAATGCTTTAGAATTAATGACACAATATTTAGTTTAACTATAAACCACTAACGGAATACCTTCATCTTCATCTTTGCATTCACTGGCTGTAAACTCCAGTGGAAAGTTCTGGTTGTTCGTCCACCTCCTAACTTTATTCCAGACCCTGTGTGTTGTGTTCACATCTGTTTTACAGATCTGGCTTATTTGTATGCAGACTCTTGGTTTCTTGTCTTTCAGGCAGATGCACTCTGACTTCAAAGTAGGCCTCCAATTAACCCTCTTCTATGTCATGCTTGTTGGGAAGTCAGTGGGTCTACTCTTGCGTCCCCACAATGGGGCCCCTGAACCCACATGGGGAAATTGAATATCTAATTATGAAATAAAATATTAGGCCAAAAGTATACAGAAAAAAAAAATCTTGTCAATCTCAAGTCTGAAGCTAGCTTTTGACACAAAGCCTTGACATGCGGTACTGATTTCTAAGAATCAAATTTTGCAATAATTAATTTGCATATTGGTGTATGATTATTTAATTATGTAAAAGATTTTAGTCTTAGATTTGTATAGTTGTTTTATAACTTTCTTTGTTCTTTCTTTTGTCATCTCACTGACACCAGGTGACATGGTTTTCTGTATGTCTTGCACTTTGTGTGTGGCTTGGGTGATGGATTTGTTTATCTTTTTTTGCAGGTTTCAGCTGCACCATTTATCCATCTCTTTCTTAGTCTTCCTCTCACCTTCATCCCAGATGTTTTGTTTAAAAAAAATCTGATATGTAGTTTGGTCTGGCTGCATTGTCGCTAGTTTTATAACTAAATCCTAGACTTACCTCGTCCACTAACAGTGCTAGAGACTGTTGGGTCTGAGGTGTCCACTGTCTCATGATGGCATATATCTCAGGAATTGTTGTGCTGGGATTCATTAGAATCTCTCTGCAGCCTGGACATAGTGGATCAAAGAACGAGAGCTCCAAACGTGTACAACTGTCACACAATGGTGGATCTACACATGGATGAATCATGGTCCTCATCTGTGTGGCTACTGGGTGGGGTGATCCTATCACTTTGCCAGTGTGATGGCTATCGCTTTCTTCAAATGTCATTCTGTATGTAATAAATACAATTAGAGAACAGCAAATGCGCACAAACTCTTTGGTGCTGAAAAACTGTAGATGTCAATTGGACTGTAACATCTTTGTTATAGATTACTTCATATAATGCTTCTATCAATATTTTAAGAACCACTGTAAGTCTAAATTATGTGCACATATTTCTGATATTCTTCTTCTTAGAGTTCATGCTGTGTGGTGTTAGTAGTCATGTCTGACCACAACCTTCTGTCTTGTGTACTTTCACTTTAGTTAGAGGTATGAAGGGTTTATTAGGTTTCATTACAAAGGAGAACACAGGTTGTTGAAAAAAAAACAAAAAACATCCTATAATGTCACAATATCTAGCATGAGAATGTAGGTGAAGGCAGTAATGGCAGCTTTCTGATGGCTGGAGAGTAGAACAGTCCAAGATGTTGCGACTGTAACTGACTCTCAAAGTATGCTTTGGAAAATAGAAACTTGTGTCTTCACCCAGACAACTTACTTAGTAAGGTCAGGAACATACCATGGATATTGGGGGGGGGGGGGGGGAGAGTTGGAGGAAGGGAGGGGCAGGACATTCAGGTGTGAGGCTAATCATACAGTTGGCTGCTGTCATTGCCCAGGACGGTGAGCTGATAAATTAGCTAATCAAAAATGTATAAATGAGACATTATGATGGCTCTCTGGGATCAATAGAATAATGCAACAGAACAGACAGAGCCTCCATATCTGAAGAGAATGATTTAGCTGGAAGTATGGTCAGTATGCATTTTCTACTCACAGGAGGGGGAGGCAACATTGTAATCTAGTTGCAACTGGTACCATCTGTATGGGAACTCTTCCTTGGTTACGGGGAAGGGGATGGAAAACAAATGTGAATGTATCGGGACCAACAGCAGAATAACTGCACACAAAGTTGAAGACATTCCATTACATGACATTGCACTTTCACAAAACAATAGAAGAAAGATGCTCAAAAGTCATGACTCAATTGGGCAACTCTTACCTCAGATGAACTGTGCACTACAGCATGTGTTCACATTAAAATTACTATACAGTGTCACAGCACATTTGGGGGAAGGGGGGGGGGGGTGATTTTAGATCAACTGTTCACTCTTTTGTTCAGCTCCCAACGAAATAAAAAGGTTTAACATGAACAGAAAATTATGTATTTATATAGTGCTGCTACAATACACCATTGATGAATCTTACAGTAATGAAGAAAACAGCACCCTTCTGAAAGGACAAACAATCTCAACAACAACAAAACAAAATATATATTAAGGCCAATGATAAAGACAGCTGTTCTGACATAATACCCTTACATTTACAGAACAGAAGAATTGCAACATCCTTAAAGAAGATTTAAAAAAGCATTCAACTAAAGCTTACACTAAATCATATAACAAAGGGTCAGTCTCACACTGTGAAATAAATGTATATATTCTTACCAATGCTGATTGACATGTTAGTTTTTGTTCTACACAGCATTCACGTCAACCTAGTCTGATACAAAAGCTGTTTCACCATTTAACTTAACTTTAATGCTCAGGCGGTTTGAACATGCTTCGTAATGCCGGGGTGTTGGGTTTGATCCCAGCTGTAGGCCTTGCACTGATTTCGACAGTGGTATCAAGAGCCAACTGTCCAAAAAGCAAGTGCAAACTACTGGAAATGAAATTTGCCTAGAAAAACCACATCAGCCAAAAAATGCTGGGGTTGGTACTGTAACGTCCAGTTCTTTCCCAATATCTTCCCCCAGATGAGGTCATGAGACAGTCCAATATTTTTAAGGTAAGAGCAGGTTTCCTGCTTGTGTCTTCGTTGCAAAGAGTTGCCAAGGTTTTGGCACATTTCTTCATTCCAGCGGGCGTCTCTCCAGCAACTAGTGTGTTCAGTCTTCATTGCCATGAATTTCCTGGAATTAGCAGCATCGGTGCCTGACAACGAGACCAATGTTGCTTTCCTGCAACATCATGGCATTCTGCATAGCACCAGATGTCGCAATAATCATGCGATGCTGTTATCACTGACGGAAAAAGAGGACCGATGGCTGTGTTAAAAGTCTACCTGTTGTCTGGACATACATTTAAGGAAAGGGACAAGGCTCGAAGGGTCGCGCCTGATTTACAGACAAATCATTCTTTTCTATACTACTGGTCTCAGGAGTTGACAAGCATTAAATTCTGCCAAGTAGAGCTGGGCATGTCGAAGAATACAACTGTAAAGTGGAGCAACTACATACCGGAGGTTTGTGCCAAAATATTATAACTCAATCCTGCAGTGATCGTCAGAGAGAACACCCGTTGACATAAAAGCAGAGACGATTCTGTCGATCGTTAGCACAAACATAAGACCTGGCATGACAGACTTCTGTAGGGCCACCCCCCCCCACAGTACCCTAATTGGCAATTTCTCCCCGACTGCATGTAGTTTTTTTTTTAAAACAACCCACAGCTGCCGTTGACATCAAGTGTTCTATATTCCACGATTTTAGCAATTTTAAAGAACCCCACAACATCCACAACTGACCCTAACCCCACAACATCCACAACTGACCCTAACCCCACAACATCCACAACTGACCCTAACCCCACAACATCCACAACTGACCCTAACCCCACAACATCCACAACTGACCCTAACCCCACAACATCCACAACTGACCCTAACCCCACAACATCCACAACTGACCCTAACCCCACAACATCCACAACTGACCCTAACCCCACAACATCCACAACTGACCCTAACCCCACAACATCCACAACTGACCCTAACCCCACAACATCCACAACTGACCCTAACCCCACAACATCCACAACTGACCCTAACCCCACAACATCCACAACTGACCCTAACCCCACAACATCCACAACTGACCCTAACCCCACAACATCCACAACTGACCCTAACCCCACAACATCCACAACTGACCCTAACCCCACAACATCCACAACTGACCCTAACCCCACAACATCCACAACTGACCCTAACCCCACAACATCCACAACTGACCCTAACCCCACAACATCCACAACTGACCCTAACCCCACAACATCCACAACTGACCCTAACCCCACAACTGACCCTAACCCCACAACATCCACAACTGACCCTAACCCCACAACATCCACAACTGACCCTAACCCCACAACATCCACAACTGACCCTAACCCCACAACATCCACAACTGACCCTAACCCCACAACATCCACAACTGACCCTAACCCCACAACATCCACAACTGACCCTAACCCCACAACATCCACAACTGACCCTAACCCCACAACATCCACAACTGACCCTAACCCCACAACATCCACAACTGACCCTAACCCCACAACATCCACAACTGACCCTAACCCCACAACATCCACAACTGACCCTAACCCCACAACATCCACAACTGACCCTAACCCCACAACATCCACAACTGACCCTAACCCCACAACATCCACAACTGACCCTAACCCCACAACATCCACAACTGACCCTAACCCCACAACATCCACAACTGACCCTAACCCCACAACATCCACAACTGACCCTAACCCCAACCCATGAGAGAGCCTAGGTCTCACCACTGTATGCAGCCTAGGTCCTCCTCCCCAGCACACACAAACTAATTTTAACCACCCACAAAAGCTGCACCAACACAGAAACATGCACACCAAAACACAGCACAAGAAGCAAATGAAATGATAAATTACTAAATATACGGGGACGCCGGTGTGTTGGGAAATGAACAGGCAGACAGACTGGCTGGCTCTGCACAACTTGGTGGAATACTGATACATGATAAGGCAGACGTGGTTAGTGCCTTGTGGAATAGCGTGTACAGTTCGGAGGAGCAGATGGATCACCAGTCTGGTGAGATTGATGCAGCGGGGAGTGACGCGAGGTTCTGGCAGATGCTCGAGGCTCAGAGGAAAGGCAAGACGGACATTTAATCAGAATGCTGCTGGCATCATTAGTATCCGAACTCTTCATTGGCTGCTGAAGATGGGGACGGAGCGCTTATGGGAATGCCCAGAGTGTTGTGATGTCGGTTCTTGAATCAAATCAACATCTAAAATCTACCACCCCCTGAAATATTAAACTGTCCTATGACCTGTGGAATTCCCGTGTTTATGGGAGGAGGGGGGGGGGGGGATATTGGGAAAGTACCCAACGTCCTGTAAAGGATACACAACTAACTTTAACTCAATGTATTAACAGGCTGCGTGACCTTCATTGGAAACCGGCTTTATTTTGGCTGTGTTTAAACTGGCTATACAGTGCCTTCTCTGACAAGCAGAATGTTTAGTAAAGTGCATGTAATTACAGGCACAGGGCTCCCATCAGCTATACAGGTCAGGTCTGTAGCAAACATCTTAATCATAAAAAGCAGATCCTGGTTTTCAACAAACACTTAACAACACTTAACCGTTAATTACAAGAAGCAGTTCTAAAAAAACCTAACAATCAGAGAAAATATCTACAAGTTAAAAACATACCAGATGGTGGTAGAGCTTGATATCTTACTATCTTCTCTCCTTTCCTGTCCCTTCCCCTAACAAAGTACTGGCTAGTGCATACAATTCAGAGAGAAATCATGTTTCATAAATAAACGGTCAGAATTATAAACTGCCTACATGCAGGGTCAGAGTGACCAATACATGTGCTCATGAATATCAGATTACCATTAAACGATCATAACAAATGAAAGTCTGAGTTAGAATTTTGGAAGATGTGTAAACACTTCACAAATAAACATATTCCTGACTACTGAAGATTACACTGTAACATAACTGAGTCACCTTAAAGAGAGCCAACATTGTAATGACCCTGCTTTGCATGGTCTCCACGAGTACATTGTGGCCAGCGGAAAGTCCGTGCTACAAGTGACAGCACGAGATAATTGGGTCTAGTCGAGGAAGCGAGAGGAAGCCCGAGCTAGACTCGTGGTCAGTTGATCATCAGAAGTCAGAGAAGACGGTAGCATTTTCTTAGAGTAGTTTTAATAT